GTCCTCAAGGCCTTTGTCTGTCTATGCGTGTTGGGTGCACGGCTGCATCTGCATTTTTTCTGGAAACTGAAATTCACTTAAATGGATCTTGTCAGTTGGTCACTCAACGCGGTTGATGAAATTTTTTCAACGATGAGAACGGGAGAAGGGGCTCTTGGATGCCCCTCCGGGACAGGCCAGATGTCTGTGGAGGACTCTGAAGATGTGTGGATATTTGTGGTGTTGGGTTTCCTGTCGATCGGCCTTGGAGGCTTCCTGTCTTCCCGGAAAATTAACGAGCTTTAGAGGAATATTGGCCTGATCCCCGAACTCAGAGATGGCTTGCACCGCGCTGTGAATTCAAAGACTCACATAATTGTCAAGATGAATCATAAGCTTGGAACTTTGGCCGGGATTCATTCATTGGCACAGAAGATGGATGCCATGAAGGATAGAGTGGACGAATCAGCACGGATTGGGATAGTTTAAGGTCCATTACTGGGATTTTGACAGGTTGAGGACCAACAAACTGTAAGACAGAGAGGAAATTATCTCTGTCTGGCCCCAAAACAATTTCTAATCGGAATCTGGCGCCCTTGAGTCTGCAAGGCTACAAGAAAAAAAAAAAAAACCTCAGAAGATATGTGGAATGTTCCGTCGCTATGGCAACTCAACTCTGTCTCCTATCCCAGTATACTATAGTATGTTTAGAACGACCTGAAAAAGTATTCAAATACACATACTATGGTATAATGTTTAGAATGACCACAAATAGTTTTAAAATACACTACTATAGTAAAACCTTTAGAATGACCAGAAAAAGTTTTAAAATACATATACTATAGTATAATCTTTAGAATGACCTGAAATGGTTTTAAAATACACATATTATAGTACAATGTTTAGAATGACCTCACATAGTATTTTAATACACATTCTATAGTGTAATATTTAGAATGATCTGAAATCGTTTGAAAATACACATACTATAGTATATTCTTTAGAATGACTTGAAATGGTATTAAAATACATATACTATAGTAGAACGTTTAGAATGACCAGAAAAACCATTACAAATACACATTCGATAATATAATGTTTAGACTGACCTGAAATAGTTTTAAAATACACATATGTTTATCATCCAAGGTACGATTACGAACAAGATTGTCGTCGACATAGATGAGGGTACCTCGCTCTCGAGCATCAGGGCAGGCTTTGTCCAAGAAGATGTTGAACTCAGCTGGTGAGTTGGAATAACCGAAAGGACACCGAGTTAAGGTGTACTGGCAGTTGGCAAAGGAGAAGGCTAGTTTGTGTTGGTCCGATTTATGGACAGGAATTGTCCAGAATCCAGACGCAATGTCAAGGGTGGAGAAGTATTTAGCGTATTTCACTTTTGAGAGTTCTTGTTCCAGGCACGCCATCGGCTACCTAGACAAGGGAACCTGTTTGTTGAGTTGCCTGTAGTAAATGGTTAGTCGCCACTTACCATTAGGCTTCTTTACTGGCCACAATGGAGCCGAGTAGGTGCTGTTGCAGGGTCGGATGATCCCTTTAGTCACGACGCTTTCAATGATTTCCTGGACTGGCCCGTTGGATGCCAGGGGAATCTTGTATGGACGCACAATATTCGGCGCAGCATGTGGCAGTGTAGGAATCCTGACCTCATGGATAGTGGTTAGATCACAGTCCAAGGAGTCGAGTGAAAGAAAATCTTTGTATTTTAACAAAAGTTGTCAGTGTTTGTCTCGCTCGACATCGTTGGTAAGAGCATCTGCTTGGTCCACGACCTGTTCAATCTGAGAAAAAACATCAGAGGGAGACTCTGATGGCTTTGAGCTCGGCAGTGAGCATGCGGTTCCCCCATGCTCAGAATCACCTACCGCAAGGCAGCGTGAGTCGGGGAAAGAAGGTGGAGTGAATGGCAGAGGTTTTCTAACACCTACCTTCAGTTCCCCAATATTGATAAAAGCATCAAAGCACTTCAAAACATCGATGCCAATGAGCAAAGGCATGGCTCCACTCTCACAGATGTACACGGGGTGTGTCAAGCTCACGGGACCGATCGTGAATTGGAGCAGAGTCTTAGAAGAGCACTGTAGAATCAGAGAAAACACGGATAGTTAATGCACAGGGAATCAGTTCTGGAGGACGTACGCCTCCCCCACATCCAAGCAGACGCAGTCGAAAAGAGACTTGCTCATGATTGTAAAATCTGAACCCGTATCTAAAAGTGTGTTGTAGGGATGCCCCTGTTGCAATATGACAGATGCTGTGGGCTTACCACCCTGTGGCAGGAGAGGTCCCAACAGTAGTTCGTCAGGCTCGACACCAGGGGTGCCGGGCCACTATCCGTGGAGGTTGCACTTGTCATCAATGTGGATGGAGCGATATGGGACATGTTGTGTGTTTCCTGTAGTTCAGAGCCAATCAGTACATCCGGTTGCAGCGTTTCCATCTTATCTGGAGGCAAATCAGCGGAGCACAGGGGTTGAGCCCCTCCCACCTGGGAGTCATCTCCAATGGCTTGGACTTTTGTGACTTCCTGTTGCAGATTGAAAAGTTGCATCTGCATGTTTTTCATTTCAGCAAACTGCATATAGCTGGGTCTGTGTTTCATATTTCCACTGGCAAAATAGCATTTGCATTTGAAGTTTAAATTCATTTTTCGTCTGTAGAATGAGAGAAGTCAAATGATAATTTACTTTAAAGCCATTGTACAGAAGTAACAGGTCCTTTAATTTGTTAAAAAATTAATGGAAGCTGAATAGGAAACCCCTACACATACTATAGTACAATGATCAGAATGACCTGAAATAGCATTAAATTACATATACTATAGTATAACGTTTAGAAAAACCTGAAAAAGTATTAAAATACACACGCTATAGTATATTGTTTCAAATTACCTGAAATAGCATTAAAATACACATACTATAGTATAATGTTTAGAATGACCAGATTTAGTACTAAAATACACATATTATAGTATAATTTTCAGAGTGACCTCACATTGTATTAAAATACACACACTATAGTATATTGTTTAGAATTACCTGAAAGAGCATTAAAATATACATACTATAGTATAATGTTTAGAATGACCTGAAATAGCATTGAAATACACATACTACAGTATAATGTTTAGAATGACCTGAAAAAGTATTAAAATACACACTTTATAGTATATTGTTCAGAATTACCAGATATAGTATTAAAATGCACTTACAATAGTATAATGTTTAGAATGACCTGAAATTCTCTTCTTCCGGCTCTTGGAGGGTGCAGACGCTTTTCTTCTCTCCTCCATGTCTTGTCCTCAAGGCCTTTGTCTGTCTATGCGTGTTGGGTGCACGGCTGCATCTGCATTTTTTCTGGAAACTGAAATTCACTTAAATGGATCTCGTCAGTTGGTCACTCAACGCGGTTGATGAAATGTTTTCAACGATGAGAACGGGAGAAGGGGCTCTTGGATGCCCCTCCGGGACAGGCCAGATGTCTGTGGAGGACTCTGAAGATGTGTGGATATTTGTGGTGTTGGGTTTCCTGCCGATCGGCCTTGGAGGCTTCCTGTCTTCCCGGAAAATTAACGAGCTGTAGAGGAATATTGGCCTGATCCCCGAACTCAGAGATGGCTTGCACCGCGCTGTGAATTCAAAGACTCACATAATTGTCAAGATGAATCATAAGCTTGGAACTTTGGCCGGGATTCATTCATTGGCACAGAAGATGGATGCCATGAAGGATAGAGTGGACGAATCAGCACGGATTGGGATAGTTTAAGGTCCATTACTGGGATTTTCACAGGTTGAGGACCAACAAACTGTAAGACAGAGAGGAAATTATCTCTGTCTGGCCCCAAAACAATTTCTAATCGGAATCTGGCGCCCTTGAGTCTGCAAGGCTACAACAAAAAAAAACCTCAGAAGATATGTGGAATGTTCCGTCGCTATGGCAACTCAACTCTGTCTCCTATCCCAGTATACTATAGTATGTTTAGAACGACCTGAAAAAGTATTCAAATACACATACTATGGTATAATGTTTAGAATGACCACAAATAGTTTTAAAATACACTACTATAGTAAAACCTTTAGAATGACCAGAAAAAGTTTTAAAATACATATACTATAGTATAATCTTTAGAATGACCTGAAATGGTTTTAAAATACACATATTATAGTACAATGTTTAGAATGACCTCACATAGTATTTTAATACACATTCTATAGTGTAATATTTAGAATGATCTGAAATCGTTTGAAAATACACATACTATAGTATATTCTTTAGAATGACTTGAAATGGTATTAAAATACATATACTATAGTAGAACGTTTAGAATGACCAGAAAAACCATTACAAATACACATTCGATAATATAATGTTTAGACTGACCTGAAATAGTTTTAAAATACACATATGTTTATCATCCAAGGTACGATTACGAACAAGATTGTCGTCGACATAGATGAGGGTACCTCGCTCTCGAGCATCAGGGCAGGCTTTGTCCAAGAAGATGTTGAACTCAGCTGGTGAGTTGGAATAACCGAAAGGACACCGAGTTAAGGTGTACTGGCAGTTGGCAAAGGAGAAGGCTAGTTTGTGTTGGTCCGATTTATGGACAGGAATTGTCCAGAATCCAGACGCAATGTCAAGGGTGGAGAAGTATTTAGCGTATTTCACTTTTGAGAGTTCTTGTTCCAGGCACGCCATCGGCTACCTAGACAAGGGAACCTGTTTGTTGAGTTGCCTGTAGTAAATGGTTAGTCGCCACTTACCATTAGGCTTCTTTACTGGCCACAATGGAGCCGAGTAGGTGCTGTTGCAGGGTCGGATGATCCCTTTAGTCACGACGCTTTCAATGATTTCCTGGACTGGCCCGTTGGATGCCAGGGGAATCTTGTATGGACGCACAATATTCGGCGCAGCATGTGGCAGTGTAGGAATCCTGACCTCATGGATAGTGGTTAGATCACAGTCCAAGGAGTCGAGTGAAAGAAAATCTTTGTATTTTAACAAAAGTTGTCAGTGTTTGTCTCGCTCGACATCGTTGGTAAGAGCATCTGCTTGGTCCACGAACTGTTCAATCTGAGAAAAAACATCAGAGGGAGTCTCTGATGGCTTTGAGCTCGGCAGTGAGCATGCGGTTCCCCCATGCTCAGAATCACCTACCGCAAGGCAGCGTGAGTCGGGGAAAGAAGGTGGAGTGAATGGCAGAGGTTTTCTAACACCTACCTTCAGTTCCCCAATATTGATAAAAGCATCAAAGCACATCAAAACATCGATGCCAATGAGCAAAGGCATGGCTCCACTCTCACAGATGTACACGGGGTGTGTCAAGCTCACGGGACCAATCGTGAATTGGAGCAGAGTCTTAGAAGAACACTGTAGAATCAGAGAAAACACGGATAGTTAATGCACAGGGAATCAGTTCTGGAGGACGTACGCCTCCCCCTACATCCAAGCAGACGCAGTCGAAAAGAGACTTGCTCATGATTGTAAAATCTGAACCCGTATCTAAAAGTGTGTTGTAGGGATGGCCCTGTTGCAATATGACAGATACTGTGGGCTTACCACCCTGTGGCAGGAGAGGTCCCAACAGTAGTTCGTCAGGCTCGACACCAGAGGTGCCGGGCCACTATCCGTGGAGGTTGCACTTCTCATCAATGTGGATGGAGCGATATGGGACATGTTGTGTGTTTCCTGTAGTTCAGAGCCAATCAGTACATCCGGTTGTAGCGTTTCCATCTTATCTGGAGGCAAATCAGCGGAGCACAGGGGTTGAGCCCCTCCCACCTGGGAGTCATCTCCAATGGCTTGGACTTTTGTGACTTCCTGTTGCAGATTGAAAAGTTGCATCTGCATGTTTTTCATTTCAGCAAACTGCATATAGCTGGGTCTGTGTTTCATATTTCCACTGGCAAAATAGCATTTGAAGTTTAAATTCATTTTTAGTCTGTAGAATGAGAGGTCAAATGATAATTTACTTTAAAGCCATTGTACAGAAGTAACAGGTCCTTTAATTTGTTAAAAAATTAATGGAAGCTGAATAGGAAACCCCTACACATACTATAGTATAATGATCAGAATGACCTGAAATAGCATTAAATTACATATACTATAGTATAACGTTTAGAAAAACCTGAAAAAGTATTAAAATACACACGCTATAGTATATTGTTTCAAATTACCTGAAATAGCATTAAAATACACATACTATAGTATAATGTTTAGAATGACCAGATTTAGTACTAAAATACACATATTATAGTATAATTTTCAGAGTGACCTCACATTGTATTAAAATACACACACTATAGTATATTGTTTAGAATTACCTGAAAGAGCATTAAAATATACATACTATAGTATAATGTTTAGAATGACCTGAAATAGCATTGAAATACACATACTACAGTATAATGTTTAGAATGACCTGAAAAAGTATTAAAATACACACTTTATAGTATATTGTTCAGAATTACCAGATATAGTATTAAAATGCACTTACTATAGTATAATGTTTAGAATGACCTGAAATTCTCTTCTTCCGGCTCTTGGAGGGTGCAGACGCTTTTCTTCTCTCCTCCATGTCTTGTCCTCAAGGCCTTTGTCTGTCTATGCGTGTTGGGTGCACGGCTGCATCTGCATTTTTTCTGGAAACTGAAATTCACTTAAATGGATCTCGTCAGTTGGTCACTCAACGCGGTTGATGAAATGTTTTCAACGATGAGAACGGGAGAAGGGGCTCTTGGATGCCCCTCCGGGACAGGCCAGATGTCTGTGGAGGACTCTGAAGATGTGTGGATATTTGTGGTGTTGGGTTTCCTGCCGATCGGCCTTGGAGGCTTCCTGTCTTCCCGGAAAATTAACGAGCTGTAGAGGAATAATGGCCTGATCCCCGAACTCAGAGATGGCTTGCACCGCGCTGTGAATTCAAAGACTCACATAATTGTCAAGATGAATCATAAGCTTGGAACTTTGGCCGGGATTCATTCATTGGCACAGAAGATGGATGCCATGAAGGATAGAGTGGACGAATCAACACGGATTGGGATAGTTTAAGGTCCATTACTGGGATTTTGACAGGTTGAGGACCAACAAACTGTAAGACAGAGAGGAAATTATCTCTGTCTGGCCCCAAAACAATTTCTAATCGGAATCTGGCGCCCTTGAGTCTGCAAGGCTACAACAAAAAAAAACCTCAGAAGATATGTGGAATGTTCCGTCGCTATGGCAACTCAACTCTGTCTCCTATCCCAGTATACTATAGTATGTTTAGAACGACCTGAAAAAGTATTCAAATACACATACTATGGTATAATGTTTAGAATGACCACAAATAGTTTTAAAATACACTACTATAGTAAAACCTTTAGAATGACCAGAAAAAGTTTTAAAATACGTATACTATAGTATAATCTTTAGAATGACCTGAAATGGTTTTAAAATACACATACAGGTGCTGGCCAGTAAATTAGAATATCATCAAAAGGTTGAAAATATTTCAGTAATTCCATTCAAAACGTGAAACTTGTACATTATATTCATGCAATGCACACAGACCAATGTATTTCCAATGTTCATTACATTTAAATTTGATATTCATAAGTGACAACTAATGAAAACTCCAAATTTGGTATCTCAAAAAATTAGAATATTCTGAAAAGGCTGAATATAGAAGACACCTGCTGCCACTCTAATCAGCTGATTTACTCAAAACACCTGCAAAGGCCTTTAAAAGGTCCCTCAGTCTTGTTTTGAAGGCACCACAATCATGGGGAAGACTTCTGACTTAACAGCTGTCCAAAAGACAATCATTGACACCTTGCACAAGGAGGGCAAGACACAAAAGGTGATTGCTAAAGAAGCTGGATGTTCGCAGAGCTCTATGTCCAAGCACATTAACAGACAGGCGAAGGGACGGAAAAAATGTGGTAGAAAAAAGTGTACAAGCTCTAGGGATAACCGCACCCTGCAGAGAATTGTGACGACAAACCCATTCAAAAATGTGGGGGAGATCCACAAAGAGTGGACTGCAGCTGGAGTCAGCGCTTCAAGAACCACCACGAGGAGACTCATGAAAGACATGGGATTCAGGTGTCGCATTCCGTGTGTCAAGCCACTCTTGAACAAGAAACAGTGCAAGAAGCGTCTCGCCTGGGCCAAGGACAAAAAGGACTGGACTGATGCTGAGTGGTCCAAAGTTATGTTTTCTGATGAAAGCAAGTTCTGCATTTCCTTTGGAAATCAAGGACCCAGAGTCTGGAGGAAGAGCGGAGAAGCACAGAATCCACGTTGCATGAGGTCCAGTGTAAAGTTTCCACCGTCAGTGATGGTGTGGGGTGCCATGTCATCTGCCGGTGTTGGCCCACTCTGTTTCCTGAGGTCCAGGGTCAATGCAGCCGTCTACCAGGAAGTTTTAGAGCACTTCATGCTTCCTGCTGCTGACCAACTTTATGGGGATGCAGACTTCACCTTTCAACAGGACTTGGCACCTGCACACAGTGCCAAAACCACCAGCACCTGGTTCAAGGACCATGGTATCCCTGTCCTTGATTGGCCAGCAAACTCGCCTGACCTTAACCCCATAGAAAATCTATGGGGTATTGTGAAGCGGAGGATGCAATACGCTAGACCCAACAATGCAGAGGAGCTGAAGACGACTATCAGAGCAACCTGGGCTCTCATAACACCTGAGCAGTGCCACAGACTGATAGAGTCCATGCCACGCCGCATTACTGCAGTTATTGAGGCAAAAGGAGCCCCGACTAAGTATTGAGTGCTATACATGCACATTCTTTTCATGTTCATTCTTTTCAGTTGGCCAACATTAGAGAAACAAACATTTTTTCATTGGCCTTTAGAATATTCTAATTTTCTGAGATACCAGATTTGATGTTTTCATTGGTTGTCACCTATAAATATCAAAATTAAACGTAATAAACATCGGAAATACATTGGTCTGTGTGCATTGCATGAATATAATGTACAAGTTTCACGTTTTGAATGGAATTACTGAAATATTTTCAACCTTTTGATGATATTCTAATTTACTGGCCAGCACCTGTATTATAGTACAATGTTTAGAATGACCTCACATAGTATTTTAATACACATTCTATAGTGTAATATTTTGATCTGAAATCGTTTGAAAATACACATACTATAGTATATTCTTTAGAATGACTTGAAATGGTATTAAAATACATATACTATAGTAGAACGTTTAGAATGACCAGAAAAACCATTACAAATACACATTCGATAATATAATGTTTAGACTGACCTGAAATAGTTTTAAAATACACATATGTTTATCATCCAAGGTACGATTACGAACAAGATTGTCGTCGACATAGATGAGGGTACCTCGCTCTCGAGCATCAGGGCAGGCTTTGTCCAAGAAGATGTTGAACTCAGCTGGTGAGTTGGAATAACCGAAAGGACACCGAGTTAAGGTGTACTGGCAGTTGGCAAAGGAGAAGGCTAGTTTGTGTTGGTCCGATTTATGGACAGGAATTGTCCAGAATCCAGACGCAATGTCAAGGGTGGAGAAGTATTTAGCGTATTTCACTTTTGAGAGTTCTTGTTCCAGGCACGCCATCGGCTACCTAGACAAGGGAACCTGTTTGTTGAGTTGCCTGTAGTAAATGGTTAGTCGCCACTTACCATTAGGCTTCTTTACTGGCCACAATGGAGCCGAGTAGGTGCTGTTGCAGGGTCGGATGATCCCTTTAGTCACGACGCTTTCAATGATTTCCTGGACTGGCCCGTTGGATGCCAGGGGAATCTTGTATGGACGCACAAAATTCGGCGCAGCATGTGGCAGTGTAGGAATCCTGACCTCATGGATAGTGGTTAGATCACAGTCCAAGGAGTCGAGTGAAAGAAAATCTTTGTATTTTAACAAAAGTTGTCAGTGTTTGTCTCGCTCGACATCGTTGGTAAGGGCATCTGCTTGGTCCACGACCTGTTCAATCTGAGAAAAAACATCAGAGGGAGTCTCTGATGGCTTTGAGCTCGGCAGTGAGCATGCGGTTCCCCCATGCTCAGAATCACCTACCGCAAGGCAGCGTGAGTCGGGGAAAGAAGGTGGAGTGAATGGCAGAGGTTTTCTAACACCTACCTTCAGTTCCCCAATATTGATAAAAGCATCAAAGCACTTCAAAACATCGATGCCAATGAGCAAAGGCATGGCTCCACTCTCACAGATGTACACGCGGTGTGTCAAGCTCACGGGACCGATCGTGAATTGGAGCAGAGTCTTAGAAGAGCGCTGTAGAATCAGAGAAAACACGGATAGTTAATGCACAGGGAATCAGTTCTGGAGGACGTACGCCTCCCCCTACATCCAAGCAGACGCAGTCGAAAAGAGACTTGCTCATGATTGTAAAATCTGAACCCGTATCTAAAAGTGTGTTGTAGGGATGGCCCTGTTGCAATATGACAGATACTGTGGGCTTACCACCCTGTGGCAGGAGAGGTCCCAACAGTAGTTCGTCAGGCTGGACACCAGGGGTGCCGGGCCACTATCCGTGGAGGTTGCACTTCTCATCAATGTGGATGGAGCGATATGGGACAGGTTGTGTGTTTCCTGTAGTTCAGAGCCAATCAGTACATCTGTCATGTTGTGTGGTAGATGCCTAACCCACGACATACAGAATCAGTCCACAGAGTCAAAGAAGATTGCAAACAATAATTTATTAGAAAAGGAGAACAGAAGGAGCTGCTAGGAAGTCTAGCAGTATTCGGCAGAGAAGCGAGGTTCGGGTGTGGAGAATCCTGGAGGAACAGGGAGAGTTAGGTCTGGCACTCGGAAATCTGAATGTTGGATCTGATGGAACTTACAGGTTGGAGGTGAGAGCTCGTGAGAGAGGGAGGAGTGACCGGTCTGGGGAGGGCAGGAGGCTTACTGGAGGCTGATGAGCTTGGAGTCCAAATGAGGAGGGAGCTGAGCATGAAGGGTAATGGTGATTCAGGAGGGAGGGTGGGCAGCCTGGAGTGGGAAGACCAGAGGAGGACGCTGAGAGACGAGTGGACAGTGAAGACACCAGGTTGGTAGCAGCAAACGAGGTGAACTGATAGGTGATATCTGCAGGAGGCAAAACAAGCAGTCAAAAACACAGAGATCTCAAAAATCCATAACCCAGAAATTCTCAAAATCAAAGCTTAGTTTGGATTTGGCTGTTAGGAGAAATACCCAAGTTGAGTTAATCATCCAGCAAAGTGAAGGCGTCTCTCAGGAGCTTAAATATCCCTGGCCAGCTAATCAGCAGATTACCTGCAGCCTCCCAACTTCCAGGCACGCCCACCTGCAGAGGAGAGATGAGACTCTACACCAATTAGTGTGTGAAAAAACCCCAGACCGTGACAGTACCCCCCCCTCAAGGGACGCCACCCGGCGTCCTGGCAGAGGAGGAGGAGGCGGAGGAGGAGGCAGACCGGGCAGCCTCAAAATCCCTAATGAGGGAGGGGTCGTCAATCCAGGACCCCGGGACCCATTGCCTGTGCTCGGGCCCATAGCCCTCCCATTCCACCAGATACTGGAGACCTCGGCCACGACGCCTAACGTCCAGGAGGCGCCGGACCCGAAAACCGAGACCCCCATCAGCCAACCGAACCGGAGGAGGAGGAGCAGGAGGAGGGCAAAGGGGACTGGAGGAGACAGGCTTCAGGAGGGAAACATGAAAAACCGGATGTACCTTCATATGAGGGGGAAGCTCCAAACGGACAGACGAGGGATTGATGATTGAGGAGATGGTGAAGGGGCCGATGAACTTGGGGGACAATTTCTTGCAGTGGCCCTTCAATGCAATATCCCGGGTCGACAGCCAGACGCGCTGACCAGGCACATAGACTGGAGCTGGCCTCCGGTGACGGTCGGCTAAACGCCGGTTACGGTCAGCAGTCCTTTGCAGGGCCTTCTGCGTGGCTGACCAGGTACGTTTTGCACTCCTGAGGAACTGGGGAATGGAGACGACTGAGGAGGGAAACTCAGAAGGGAACAGGCAGGGCTGAAAACCAAGGGAGACCTCGAAAGGAGACAACCCGGTAGAAGAGGAGACATGTGAGTTATGGGCGTATTCGATCCAGGGTAGTTCTAAACTCCAGCGGGAGGGGTTGGAGGAACATAAACAACGGAGCATGGCACCTAGTTCCTGATTCATCCTCTCACACTGGCCATTAGATTGAGGATGAAATCCGGAGGTGAGGGCGACCTTGGCCCCGAGACAGGCGGCAAAATCCTTCCAGACTCGAGAAATGAACTGGGGACCTCGATCAGAGAGTATTTCGAATGGAATGCCATGTAACCTAAAAACATGTTTCACCAAAAGTGCAGCTGATTCTGCAGCTGAAGGGAGGGCCTTTAAGGGGATGAGATGGCAAGCCTTAG